GGTGCATCAGTGATGTCCGTCACATGCTGTCAGATGAATAAACGACGCTCAAGTGTGGGTTGGATATTACAGCAAGTTGCATTTTACTACAGCTAACCACCGTTACCTGTAGCTGTAGTTTCTTTGCCCTATTTTCTTGGATACAATTGGTTGAAGAACTGGACTGATAAGATGTTGTGTAAGATCATTCTGATTGTGTGTCTATGATGAAGAATTATGTGTTCCAGATTAATAATGATGGATCTATAATTCTGTATATGATTTAATGTATAGTGTACTGAATGACAAGTTGTTTCTCTTCCTTATTTTGTAAAGTTAACGAGACGAGTTGTTATGTTTTGTTTTGTTTGTTGTTGTTGTGTGTATAAATGAGATTGTGTGTATGTGTGTGGACCCCAGGAAGAATAGCCGATGCTTATGCTGGTGCTAATGGGGATCCTAATAAACAAGAAACAAGAAACAAGAAACAAGAAACCGTTGCTTACCTCTTACCTCTCCTCTGACATTCAGTCTTTGTCACCATGACGAACACCTCTGCCGCCACCTCCCCAGCCACGGCCGCCGCCTCTACCCTGCCAGCTGCCACCGCTGGGCCCTTTGTTCGTCCGTCACGTTGCACTACGGTCCAGGGGACCACCCACTGCACCTGTGAGCCAGGATACACCATCTCTGGCAGAGACAGCAACATCTGCACTGGTGCGCCTCATACGTTCACCTTAATCAACCCTCAGCTGCACATGATCACTATTATAATGCTTCTGAATGTGGGATCTACCTGTATGTGTGTGATGCATTACAGATATAGATGAATGTGAGCTCTTCCACAACGGGCAGGCCGGCAGGTTGTGTTTACATGCTTGTGTTAACACTGCTGGAGGCTATCGCTGTTCCTGTCCTGCTGGATACAACGTGACCCGCGATGGACGCAGCTGCAAAGGTGAGCTCACTGTTTCACTGTGTTTAGTCCTTTCTTCTCTACTCATTAATTCATTCAACCTCTGTTTAAATATCGAGGAATCATTGAAGATAAGCCCTTATTTACAAAGAAGTCAGTCAACAGAATGAAAAGGCAACAATTAGCCACTTTTCTTTTGTTTATTTGGAAAACGTGTACGCAGCAGAATTCAAAGTTTCTGGTATATGATGCAGAATGTCATCAATCATGAAGTAAAACTGCAGAACTTACTTGTGGGACACATCCAATAAAATGCTATCTCCTGTAAACATTAAATAAATTCCTCCCTGGAGGAAATACATTTAAGAAACATTAGTGAATTTATTGTTGTAAGTAATGGCGTCAGTTGCAGTTCCCTAAAATAGAAGTAAATTCAATTTTCATACAGTCCAAACTAGTATTTTTTGTTTAAATAAATGGCTCTGTGTTTTTAATTTTCCCACAGATATTGATGAATGTGCCACAAGACAAAACAACTGCACAAAGGACCAGATGTGCATCAACACATATGGTGCTTTCCAGTGTGTTCGTGTGGACTGCCCCAAAATCCCGAATGCCACATACGTCAAGACATCCCCCATGTGAGCATGTCGACTCCCAGGTATAAGGTTCCTTTTTTTATCAGACAATGAGTATTTTTTTTAGATCGGAGCCGTTTTTGCCTTTGACATGTTTCGACTGTCACTTCAGTCTTCCTCTGAAACATCACTGACGTCTGTGGTGACGTGTTTCTATCAGCTGGTGGTTTCCTGGAGGTGTGACCCGCCTGGCAGTCTGTCAGATTTGCCCCACGGGCCACGCCTCCTGATTTCTACGGCCTCCTTGATCGTATAGATAGAAATCAGGAGGCGAGCAAAAGACACCATGAACCGTGATGAGGGGGCATCATGCTGAAGGCGAAAGCTTTGACAAATCCAAGCTGAAGAAGACGGAGACTCAAGAGAAGAACACATTGCCAACCAAAGAAACCATCGAACACGAAAAGGCAGGGTCACCATGAACACCAGTCCTCTCTGCACTGTACATTCCACAAGCTTTTGCCCTTTTCAGACCTTTTCCAACATGCTTTTCTGATTAATTGACTTAACAATGGCTGTACACCACTCACTTGCCCAAAAGGCGCTCTG